CCTTCTTATTTCTTAGCTCCACCCACAACGCCTCACTGGATTATCCCTCAGTTATTTCATCTGTGACTACTGCTGTGATACTCCCCTTAATCAAAAATGCAACACCCCCTCTCCCCTTTCCTCTACCTCTGTCCCACCTAATGCACCTGTACCCTGTCACATTAAGCTGCCAGTCCTTTCCCTCCCTTAGCCATGTTTCTGTAATGGCTATAAAATCCCAGTCCCAGGTACCTATCCATACCCTGAGTTCAGCGGCCTTACCTGTCAGCCACCTTGCATTGAAATAGGTACAACTTAATCCAACAGACATTCCTTGCTCCCTGTTCTGTTCCAGCCTGACCTGTCTGTTCTGATTACTGTATTGTACTGGCATGGTGGCTCAGTGGTTAGCACCCTTGCCTCGCAGCGCTAGGGTTCCAGGTTCAATTCCAATCTTGGGTGAATGTCTGTGTTGAGTTTGTACATTCTCTCTGTGTGGGTTTCCTCCCACTGTCCAAAGATGTGCAGGCTAGGTGGATTGGCCATGCTAAATTGCCCATAATGTTCAGGGATGTGTAAAATAGATGGGTTGTAGCGGTATGGGTCTGGGTGGGATGCTCTGAGAGTTGGTTTGGACTTGTTGGGCTAAAGGCCATGTTTCTACACTGTAGGGAGTCTAAGTCTAAGTATCTCCTTCCAGCCTCACACTTGCTGCCCTGATGTTGAGGATTCCCATCCCCTCAAAATTCCAAGGGAGTTTAAATCTGCCTGTCAGGATATTGGTCCCCCTCCAGGTCAGGTGCAACCCATCCCTCTTGAACAAGTCACCTCTGCCCCTGAAAAGATCCCAATGATCTAGGAATCTGAATTTCTGCCCCCTGCACCAATTCTTTAGCCATGCATTCATCTATCATATCCTGCTCTTCCTACTCTCATTAACACATGGCACTGGAAGTAACCTGGAAATTACTACCGTCAAGGTCCTGGTTTTTAATGTTTTTTCCTAGCTCATCCCTATTTCTACCTATGTCATTTGTGCCAACGTGCACAATAACTTCTGGCTGCTTACCCTCCTCTTGAGAACATTCTACAGCTGCTCCAAGACATCCTGGACCGTGGCACCTGGGAAGCAACACTCCATCCTGGATTCCTGTTTGTGACCACAGAATCTCCTGTTTGTCCCCCTAACTATCGAGTCTGCTATCACTAAGGTCCTATTTACCTTTATTCTTTCCTGCTGTGCCCAAGAGCCAGTCGTAGTGCCACTGACTGGGCTACTGCTGCTTTCCCCTGAACGGTTATCTCCCCCCAACAGTATCCAAAATGGTATACTTGTTTTCGAGGGGAATGGCCACAGGGATTCCTGCACTCTCTGCCTACTCCCTTTGCCTTTCCTGGTGGTCACCAGGTACTCTGTGTCAGCACCTTAGGTATGAACACCTCACCAGAATTCTTATCGATGATGCACTCAGCATCTCGATGATCCTGAGTGCGCCCAGCTACAGATCCAGTTCCCTAACACAGTCTTCCAGGAGCTGCAGCTGGGTGCACTTCCCACAGGTGTAGTCAGAGGGGTTAATGGAAGTCTTTGAAGGGATCAGGCATACATTATTATTCAACCGTGACTAGGCTATGCACTGTCCTGCAACTCCTTGACTTCTCTTGGGATTTCCTTCACTACCCCAACTAATCCCACTGGTTTAGCCTCTCTTGCACCACATCTTTTTTTCTAGTGCCTCTCTTAAACCAGCGCTGTGACTTGGTGTGTCTCCCCTTATTACAGTGAAAACACCTATTATCCACCTTCCTGGGCTTCTTTTTCCACATGTGGTAAACTGTTCCTAGTGTGATCTACTTTTTGTTTTTCATTGAAGGATCTCCCTTTTTCCCAATTTCAATCCCTCACAGAATGAAATTGCTGTCAGAAGCTCGCTTTCGATTTATGCACTAATGCGTATTCATCTGCCATCTCTGCAGCTCTTCTCACTGTTTTAACTCTCTGTTCCTCAACATGAATTTTTATCACTTCTGGAAATGAGTTTTTAAACTTGTCCAGCAGAATAATCTTTTTAAGACCTTCATATATCTCTTCTATCTTTAATGCTCTCACCCATCTATCGAAGTTGCTCTGTTTAATTCTTTCAAACTCGATATAAGTCTGACCTGGCTCCTTTCTTATATTTCTGAACTGTTGTTTATATACAGGCAGTCAATGTAGCCTGTTTTACTCCTTCATATTCTCTTGACATCTCTTTTGACAGCACTACAAACACCCCACTAGCCCTGCCTACCAACTTGACCTGAATTAACATCACCTGACATTACCGTTAACAGACTCTGACCAGTTCATCTGTTTAGCCAATTTCTCAAAGGAAATGAAAAAGGCTTCTACATCTTTTTCAATGAATTTTGGTAATGTTTTGACGTATTTGTATATATCCCTACCAGGTCTTTGGCTACGATGGGTCTGCTCATCATCACCCTCCTCCTCACTAAGCCTACCTTCTGCCTTCATCTCCGTCATTTTAATTTGGCTATCCTGTCTAACTTGCAACTTCCAAAGTTCAAACTCTCTCTCTTTCTCCCTTTGTTCTCTCTCTTTTTCTTCTGCCCTGGCTCTTCTTTACTTTTCTTTCTCTTCTAACTCCACTTGTCTAATTTGCAATTTAAATTTTTCTAACTCCACTGTACTTAACTGTTTTTCTGGTATACCTAAAAGCTTGACTAACTCCTTTACAATTTCAGCTTTCTTCATATACCTAATTTAACCCAATTCTAGCCTGTCTGCTAATTCTAAAAGTTTCTCCTTTTTCTGTCTTTCTACACTTTTTTGGCAAATTTGGGAAGCATTTTCGACCCTCAGAACCTCTTTTGCAATGTTAAGAGCCATTTCCCTGTTTTCAATTTAACCAACAACAAGCAACTGAACTTAAACAGATATTCTTCTTCTCATTTAAGTTTTATTTATAGATCTAGGACATTAATCCCCAAATCTGTTTAAATCTGCTGGGACCTTTCATTCCCTAAATCTGTCCACATCCGTCCAAATCTGTTCAGATCCGTTCAAATCTGTACAAACTGTTGAAATTCCGGATCCGCTCTGTACCAACCTGTCCAAATCCTAGATCCGAGCTGTCCGGATACCAGATGAGCCACCAATAATTTATAAAGCAGAGGTCAACTCCCCTCCGATAACTAAAACCGAAGCCCCAAAGCTCGCCTCGCCCTATACTCTGTTAAAAGAAGTGTGAAAGCCAGTATAACCTGCCTCTCATTCCCAATATATTGTAAAGGAGTGGTTAAATGAAATAAACTCATGACGCTTACTCTATAATCAACAAGTAACAATTTATTTATCTAGCTCTAATGCGAACAAATTAAGTGAACTACTAACAAACTGAACAATTTCCCTCTAAGCACTAACGATTCCCAAATAAAACAAAATTCCAATGGTATGCTGTACCAATAAATATATGTCCCACTTGTATGAACCAAAATAATAAAAATTAGAACTTCGTCTCTCAAAATTACAGCCAGGTTATGTCTTCCGGAATGTTCTGTGTCTCCACCGTTGATCGTCTGTCAGGAATGCGTCCTTTGTCCAATTCCTAACTAAGAGTGCCGTGTTACCTTTATTTAGATGATGCTTTCTCTAAAAGCTGAGAGGGCCGATCTCTTAGTAACTGTCAGTCTATACACAATTACTCTACCCTACTTTGCAACAGCTGTCTTAGCCATGTTGGATTACATTGGGGAGAATTGGAATAATCTTGAGTTCTGTTTGCCTAAGAAGACAACATTGCTGTGAGGAGGTTGCTGGACCAGTACAGAATTATTCAATCTGGTGACATTTTTAAGAATTCATTTATGGGATGTGAGCATCACTAACAAAGCTTGCATTTATTGTTCATCCCTTATTGCCCTTGAGTAAATGGTAATGCGTGCTGAACCACTGCTGTCATATCATGTAGATACCTTCAGTACTTTAAGAAGCTTCATGATTTTGACCTAATGATAGTAAATGAATAGTGATAAAGTTCTCGGTCAGCGTAATGTGTGACTTGGAGGGAAGCTTGCTACCCATGATCTTCCAGGTTGGGGGTTTGGATGGTATTGTTGAAGAACCCTTGGTGAGTTATTGCACCATCTTGTAGATGGTGTACTCGGCTGATTCTGTATCCCAGCGGTGGAGAGAGTGAACATTTATTTTGGCAAATGGGTTGTTGATCAAACAGACTTTTGTTCTGGGTAGTGCTGACTTTCTTGATTGTTGCTGGAGAAATGCTTATCCAGGCAATTGAATACTATTTCAGCTGAATCTGTGCTTGCGTCTTGTAGATGGTAGACAGGCTTTGGAGAGACAAGAGATGAGTTACTGTCTGGAGAATTCCTGGTTTTAGATCTGCTGTAGCAACCACATTATAAATGTGAATGGTCCAATTCAATTTCTTATCAAACCTGTATGAACTTTAGCAAAGATAACCAATTAATGCTCACAGTCTGGAGCACATACTTCAGAGTAGCATTAACGGAGGTACAGCTACAAGTTGCCTGGCAGCTTCAACCAAAGTGCAGGAGGCATAATGAAAGAAACAGCAATGATCATTGCAGGGACTAGTGTCCTCTCAAATTCGAAGGTCAGATATTGCAAAATGGACAAATGGGCAAATGTAAACAATGGACTCAAAATGAGATCAACAGAGGCAGGCTTTGAGAAAGCAAGGGACACATCCACTTTGAGAAATAAATGTTAAGACATTCACAAGCAATTTGCATTTGTATAAGCATCCCTCCTCAGGAGGACAATCTTATTGCAATTTAAAGTGGGTAGAATAGAACACAGCCAACGCTGGGAAAATTAACAAGGTAACAAAACAAAAACAAGGCCACAGAAAGCCAGAGAAGAGCAACGAGAAACATAGGATCAGCACCTGCATTGCTGGTTCTTAGAATTACACTTTGTTTTTATCACTGGTTTATGTCGACATTTTTCCAGATCTGCTTTCTGAAATTATTTGCAGATTCAGGATGTTGTAAAATGTCGGACAGGAAGCTGCAAAACTGAAGAGAATGAAAACTCACCTGATTCTTACAAAAATGGTCAAGTCCAGATTATGGTGAGTGAAGGATCAATTCACATACAGCAGAGCAATTTTGTTTCTTAAAGGAAACTTACATAAATATTTAAAGCAGAGAAAGATACTGGATTACGAGGACAGATCAGGATTAATTTTGGATTACTGTAGTAATGGAACAGAATAGATTTTTCATCACAGGCTTTCCTCTGTCATATTCTTCAATGTGCTTTAGCTTCAGAAGAAATTGAGTAATCTCTATCTTCACTTTGACTGCTTTGAGATATGTCCAGCAATTTCAGCTTTTAAGGTCAGGCAATGTGTGAGATAAGTATTAGAGTTGAAGTTTATACTAGAATGGTTTCTGTATCGGTCCTTTAAATCAGGAACAAATTACAGAATGCTTTTGACCAAGTATATTCATATTCACATTCATATCATTTACTGTTGCTGAGAGGGAAATAACCTGTTAGCTTCACAGTGCACAAGAGGATTTTAACCTGAAGTGAGGAATGCATCTGTGGGTAAACACCAAAAATGACTGACACTGATGGTATAATGCGACTTTAACTTAAAACAATCAGGATTCGGCAGCTAGCTCACATTCCAACGTAGAAACTTAAACATCAGGACGCTGCCAGTAAAACAGTAAGATATTCTGAGGATGTACCACAAGAGGGAAAGGGAGATACCAGCCTGGTTAAGGCCTAATAAACTTGCCTTGCAGTGCATGGAGGTCAATTTCTGCTACTCCTATCTGTACAGTCAAAGAGAAAAAGGAATTTACTCTTGCAGCTCTGTCTGCTACCTTCCTACTGGCCAATTGAACTGCCTGGCCAACAGAAAATAGATAACATCAACTACAAAATGAGGCATTCAAACAGTCCAAACAAGGTTTTTGGGAAGAGTCAGTAGTTGGGAATGAAGTGATGGAGCAGTTGGTGATCACAGATTAGGAGAGACAAAGCTTGTGACCAGGACTGTCAAGGAGCTGGGTGATAATTGAGGCTGGGGGATTGGCAAAGCTGAATATCAGGTTTGGGAAAGTCAAAGGCTTACTAGAAGTCAGATTACAGCTCTTCTGTTGCTCCTGGATAGAAGAGTGCTAAGACAGGTACTTAGCTTCCAGAGCCAGCAACTCTTACTTTCCTTTCACTGTTGAGTGTCCTGACCCCTGGAAAACCCACAGAACAGCAGTCAGTTTTGAACAAGACTTCCCGTTGCACTTTGCAAGTTCAAATTTTGTCTGTGACGTTGACACAGCAGGTAACTAGGACATCCCAATATCCACAGACATCTTAAATTGCTGCCTGAGCCACCAGTTGGAGTAGGAATCACACAGTTCACTTTTTTACACTACAGTGTCTCCCAGGTCATATGCATGGAGGCAGGCAGGATATCAAGACTGTTATAGCAATCAAGATGAGTATGAAGCTGTCAGAAAGACTGTTGTAAAAGTTCACATAGTCCATTAATGTGAATACCTGCTGTGACCTATAGAGAGCGATTCTAGTCCCTAATGTATGTGATTGACTCTGAACTACCATCAGTCGTGACCTCACAGCCAATCAGTTGTAGCCACTATAAAGAATGATATGATCACAAGGAATTCTGGAATCTCCAACCTTGCAGTGCTGTGGGAATACCTTCACTGTACTTCACTTATTTCAAGAAGGTTCACCTTATCAAGACAAATAGAGTTTGGCAATAAATGCCAAGAAAAGCAACATCTGCTTCCTTAAAATGAATGAAAAGAAATATATCAGGCTATAGTACCCACCTACTAAATTGGCATCCTTAGATTAGATACTGGAATTGATGCTAAATTATGTCACAAATATGCTACTGCTTTCATCTAGAAAACTCTTATTCCACATTTGACATATTAGAATTTATACACACTACACAAAATAGAAATTATATGCACCTATCGCCCAGTGGGTCAGAGCACCAGTAGCGTAACACAAAGCTGGGTGGGCTGTGTTCCACAATCAGAGGGTGGTTCATGAATTTCGTAGCCAGAGATAGGGACTTACAGTTTCAAATCTCTCAAATATGAGTGGACAGTTTGCTACTAGCTTTTCATTCAGGACCTCGGTGTCCCCTTTTACTATTTAGAAATTTTAAATGAATGCTTCAAAACAATCTAATTTCATTCAGCAGAAAACTTCTGTTTCTAATTTATTGTTTTTTTTCCTTGTTTCTTGCTTCCTTTTTATAGACAGATTTTGAAAAGGACGTGGACCTGGCCTGCCAGTCGGGTGAGTGCTTTAGCGTGTCGTTAATGGTGAATCCTGTTCTCACCGTTAATCATTCATATGTTGTCCTACTCTCATTCTGATTAATACTATTCATCAGGAAAATCAGAAGTCCCAACCCTGCCACCAGTTGAGGTCCTACAATGGACAGTTAATGCCCACATAATGCCACAAACTCCACATCAATTCTAAGTACTCTAAATCTATCAAATACTCACAACCCACAGAACACCCTTCCCTCACCAAAACTTTCAATTCTTTGATGTCTCAACTACTCACAATTTTCTCATCTACCCCATAACAAAAGTCAGTTAATGTTTTGAGTCCAGTGACCCTTCGACAGAACTAGTAGGAACTGCAGATGCTGGAGAATCTGTGATAACAAGGTGTAGAGCTGGATGAACACAGCAGGCCAAGCAGCATCAGAGGAGCAGGAAGGCTGATGTTTCGGGCCTAGACCCTTCTTCAGAAATCGCTTCTCGGCCTGTTGACTGCGATCGCGTGCTGGGGCTTTTTGCCTAGAAGGGTCTAGGCCCGAAACGTCAGCTTTCCTGCTCCTCTGATGCTGCTTGGCCTGCTGTGTTCATCCAGCTCTACACCTTGTTATCTTCGTCAGAACTGTTCTGATCTTGAAATTACTGTTCTTGAGGTCCTGCTTTTAATTTCTTTCTTAACTCCCTGAAATCTGCATTCATGACCTTATCACTCTTCCTACTATGTCATTGGTACAAATGTGAACCATGACTTCTGACTGATCCTCCTCCCTAGAAGGATGTCCTGCAACCACTCCATGACATCCTTGACCCTGGCACAGAGGAGGCAACACATCATCCGATGCCTACGTTTCCTGGACCGAAATGAATATCTGATCCATTTTTTTCTGTTGTGCCATCCCCTCCCAGTTAAGCTGCACACCTTCAGTGTCATAGATTTGTTTCTGTGGTCCCTTCAGGAACCATCACCTTCACTATTTTCTAAAATGGAATACCAATTGGCAAAAAGGAAATCCTCAGGACTCCTGCACAATTTGCCCATTTTTCTTATTCTATTAGTTACCCATTCCATCTCTGCCTGTACCTTCCCAACCTATAATGTGAGCACCTCCCTATGTGTGTTACCCATGGAGTCCTCTGCCTTGCAGATGCACAACCAAGATACCAACTGCTGCTCAAGTCCCAAAACCAGGAGCTCAAGCTTGTGCGGGTCAGTAACACTTCCTGCAGATCTGCTTGCCTGGGGCACGTGGCATATCCATGATTTCACACGTACAACAGGATGTATATTCCACTTGTCCCTGCTGATTTGTCATCCTGTAACTCTGAAAACTATTTGGTACTTTTAGAATAATATAAACTGACTAAACAAACTTACTATTAATTTAACCGTACTTCATTTATGTTATAAACTTTATCTTCCTTTGGTTTTAATTTATTTCACCTTGACTTGATTTAATTTTACCTCCTTTTTGCTAGTATACCTTACATAAAACCAAAGAGTTGCTACTTCTTCATAATTTTTTTTTAGTTTCAGGCTATTTATACTGATCCCCTAACAGGAGCTTCTCACTAACCAATACATTTACAGATCTCCTGTGACAGCACTTTTGGATTATCTTTTCCCAACTCAGCCTTTCCCTGCTCTCCAATCTCTCTTAAAACCTGCTGCCTTCTGTCTGTGTGCTGTGTTCAGAATGAAGCCACTCCCTGCTTTCCGCATTCTCTTCAAACCTGCTGACTCCTTTCCCTGTGCTGTGTTCAGAATGACATGTCTGTTGTAATAAAATGGGAAATTGCTGGAAAAACTCAGCAGGTCTGGCAGCATCTGTGGAGAGAAAGCACTATTAAAATTCTGAGTCCAGTGACCCTTCTTCAGAACATTTCTGTAGTAGATGGTTCAGGGTCTGGGGTCAGGACAGTATTGTGTCGTTGGGGGCAGTCAAGTGTCAGAGAATTGAGGTCGGGGGTTGTAGTCACATATCAGGAAGGTACAGTTGCATATTGGGGTTTTTCAAGTTGGGTCAGAGCGAGTCGCAGCGAGTAGTCAGGGAGTCAATGTAGTGTGGGATCAGGGTTAGGAGTTCTCCTGGCAATTGCCACATAGTCACTGCATCAGGACTTCTGAGTGGCCATCTGTAGGGGACATCCAGTCTCTGACCATCTGTAGGTTGGAAGATCTGCGTCCATACATAAAAAGCTTGCATCATGCTTCAGCCACTGCTAGTACTGGAATGTACAGGCAATCCAGCAATACAGCACAAGAGTGAAAGACCTTGATATATTTAGAACCATTCATGATTTCAGGTTGTCTCAAAGTGTCTTACAGCCAATTAATTACTTGTGTAATGGAGGAAACGCAGCATGATGTTTACACATATCCTACAAGCAGCAATGTGATAATTATCCAATAATCTGATTTCGGAGATGTTGTTTGAGGGATCCATATTGACCAAGACACTGGGATTATCTCTTCCACTGTTTTCATAGGCCTGAGAGGGTAGAGGCAGGCTACAATATAACATTTCATCAGTCCCTCCTCCCTATCTCACTGAAGTGTCAGCCTGGATTATGTGCCCAAGCCTCTACGGAGAGGGTCTTAACCTCTTCTGCTCCCAGGTGAGGATACCGTAAAGCACAGTCAACCCTTGAACTGAGTAAATGTACATATCTCGTCAGCTAAATCCAGTTTTAGATAATTTTTTTAAAAAGCTTAAAAATGTAACAGACTGAAAAAGATCTAAAGCAGTTTTTAGTAACTTACATGTCTTTCATTGTTTCTGTATCCCTAGTGCTCTTCAAGGAGGTTAATACTTGTAATCCTGCAACTATTACTGGAACACTGTCTCGTATTTCATTGGATGATGAGGAAGATGAGAAGCTGCATACAAACAGTGAGGGGATGAACTTCACAACCCTTCCGGGAAATATTCCACCAGGAAATGTCTTGGTTCAGTTGCCTCCCATGCACCAGTTGCACAACATGATGTCTGGTATGAATGAACTTAATGAGCAACCAGCCAAAAAAGAAACCAACAATGAGTTGAGGGGAACACTGTATCTGTGCACAGAGAATACATTGAAACCAGTGGATGTGAAGTGGAGGCGGGCACAGGAGCAGCCACTAGAAGGTGACTACATGGTACTCCCAAGGCGCACAGTCAGCTTAAAGCCTTTCATCAAAGAGGACAACAAATTAAACATCAATGTGGATGACAACAGGCACAATATTGGTGGAAACCAACCAGTCGAGTCAGAGGTTTATCCTAACTTTGCATCACTTGATCATATCAATATTAACTTAAATCAACCTTATGGTACGCTTAATCATCCACGGAATGTACCCATCAAACAGCACCCTTCAGTGAGGCACATTCTAGCATCTGAACTTGCTGACAGGAGCAGAACCATGCCACGCAGCAAACCAAGTGCAACAAACTCCACGGGTTCCTTAGAAGTAAGTTAAAGTAATGATATTGAGCTGGCCATATTTGCTGTCAGAATATTACAGAGGAAGGAGGCATTGCTAAAGGCATCATGTCCATCTCACATTGACAGTGAGACAATGATCACATTTAGACTTAGCTGAGCCCTACATGGTATCAGCTATGCACAAAACATAATTCTTTTGTGATTTTCACATTAAATTGGAATAAAAGAATGGTATTTGCCAACGCCTTCAAATTCCCACAAATAGCACTGCAGGAGTTTGAGGTCGAGTTCATCTGGTATCATGGAATCTCTATAGTTGCAGATAGAGGCCATTTGGTCCATCCAGTCTGCACCCACTGTACGAAAAGCAAATACCCAGATTCACACACCATCCCCCACCCTATCTATGTGACCCTGCATTTAACATGGCTAATCCACCTAGCCACACATCCCTGGACATTCGGGGAAAGCAACAGCCTAGTGGTATTATTGCTGGATTAATCCAGAGAGAAGGCAATGTTCTGAGGACCCAGGTTTGTATCCTGCCATGGCAGATGGTGGAATTTGAATTTTATATTTAAAAAATCTGGAACTAAGAATCTAACGATGACTATGAATCTGTTGTTGATTGCTGGAAAAACCCATCCAATTCACTAATGCCCTTTAGGGAGGGAACCTGCGTCGTTACCTGATCTGGCCTACGTATGACTCCAGATCCACAACAATGTAGTTGACTCTTAACTGCCCTCTGGGCAATTAGGGATGGACAATAAATGCTGGCCTAGCTAGTGATGCCCTCATCCCATTAATATTTTTTTTAAAAGTCTGGGGCAATTTAGCACGGCCAATCCACCTAACCTGCACATCTCTGGATTGTGGGAGGAAAAAGGAGCACCCAGTGGAGACCCACGCAGACACGGGGAGAATGTGTAAACTCCACACAGACGGTCACTCAAGGATGGAATTTAACACAGGTACCTGGCACTGTGAGGCAGCAGTGCCAACCACTGTTCCACCTTGCTGTACTTAATGACATTTCTCCATTAATTCAGGCAGTTGCCTGTCATTAATGAGTGTGACAAAACCTTTAGGAAACTCTTTTGCTGAGGAACCAGGTAACCTCCTGCCTACGGCCTGTATAAAATCTCAGAATGAAATTTGCTTATGTTCCTTGCCCCTCAGTCATTTACAGCAACTCCTTAGAAAAGTCGTACTATCTTTCCTATGGAGTTTTCATTTAATGACTCCTAACTTGTTGCCTTAACTTTGCATTTTCAGACTGTGAGAAGCCTATCTAAACTCCATTGTGTTTGCAATTTTTTTCTCAACTCCCATCTTCGGGTTTTTTCCTTAATTTTGGCTCCTAACTTGCAATATCTCCATTTAAAAATTCTCATTCTTGTTCATTCAGTTCCCTCAGCCATCCTATCTCTGTGTTGTGCTCCAGTCCTAAAACCTTCTGTGATCTCCACATACGTTAAATTCTAGCCTAATAGCAAGTCCAATTTGTAGACATGGGCTAGATTTTACACGTTTATGCTGTTGTTTCCCTGGAAGAAAATTCAGTTCAAGCTAATCTTTGAATAAGTTCGCTTTCCAGCAATCAAACATTCTGGACAGCCTAAGTAAGGTGAGGATCAGTCTTCACTGTTGCGGAAGGAAGGCTTGCCCTCAAGTGCAGCCAGCCACCTGATTTGTCAACAGCTCTAACTGTTCCACAGCACCAGAACTCATTCATGGTCATAGCTGGGACTGCAAGTCAGCCCACAGAGACTGGGATGAACACCAGACCCAGATAAGTCCTGAGATTTTGGGATGGGTAGGAATTGGGCATTTCCAGGGAGTAGTTTGAGGTACATACTTTGAAGGGCTGGTAAGAAGCTCGAAATGGGGGACATAGCAATGGACATTACCCCACAAGGTACCCCCCAAATAATACACCCCTCTCCTTCCAGCCTTTTCACCAAATTTCTTGAAAGAAAAAGCCTTTCTGCTCTCACCCGCCTCCAATGTCCAGGGGATTATGACAGCAAAGGCAGATTAAGGGCCATAAATGGGCAATAATTGATCAGTTAAGGCTTTCAGTTGGTCTGAGAGCAGGTGAGCTATAGAACGCTTTGTACACCCCAACCGCTCCTCTATTATAGGGACCAGGTCCACAGATCATGGGTTAGCCATGGAACTCTGGAATCCCCTCTGAAAACCTCTCCATCTTTCTATATCTGTTTTCTCTTTTAAGCTTCTTCTTAAAACGTATATCAGAATGTACATTGGTCATCTATCCCAACTTTTCTTTGTGTATCGTGACACTTCCTTGAAGTGCCTCAGGGTGTTTTCTACATTACGGGAGTTAAATAAATGCGATTTCTCGCTTGTGCTTTTTCAACTATGAGATCTAATGCAGAATCACATAAATCAGTCCAATTAATTTGAGTGCATGACCCTTAGTCCTTAATATTCAGTCTCATTCTTTTACCAGAATTCCATTACTTCTGCGCATCTCCTAACTTATATAAAACACAAAGTAGTTTCCATATTTTATGATGTGATTTGTACTTATCAGAAGGACAATCTTAGCTGGAAAGTTAAGCTTAAATGTTCAGAGACTGGGATGCAGTGCTCATCTTGAGGCTACGTTACTGTTGATATAGTTTTTAAGTTTACCTGTAATAGTCCCAGTTCATCAGTTACTGGTGATTCAGGATGACTGAGACTCTACCTCAATTGTTTGTGCTCCATAACTCAAGGCAGGAAATTTTCCCCACCTTTCTTGACAATTTTCCTGCCTTTGAACTTTGGATTTTCCCCAATTTTGAGTAACTTATAACTTGATTTAGATGGCTCTGCTTTAGACTCCAGGTTGAGTTAATTTTGGAGTGACTTTTTGAGACAGACGCAGAATGTTGATTGTTTAAAGTATGAGTTGGGTACTGTAGCGCCATTGGTGAAGTTAGGAGAATGCTGTAGATATTGTCAACATGGACTTCGGTCAGGGATTTCCCAAGGCCTCACTTGGCAGACTGGTCAGAAGAGTGAAAAGGGATACAAAAGAATATGGCAAGTCAGATCCACTGCAGGAAACAAAGGTTATCAGTTGATGGAAATTTTTGCAAAGGAAAGTGTTTTGACAGGAGCTTTCCACAAGGATCATTATTGATGTTCTTTATATTTGCATATATTAATGATTTGGACTTAAATGTGGGAGGCATGATTGGAAAATGTGCAGATGATACAAAGATTGGCCATGTAGTTGATAGTGAAAATGATAGCTCTCAACTCCAGAATGATAAAATGGCTTGTTTGAATGGGTGTTAAAGTGGCAAATGCAGTCTGGAGGAATGTGAGGTAATACATTTAGAGAAGGCAGACAAAGCTAGGGAGTACACATTAAATAGAAGAATATTGAGAGCGGGAGAGGAGATGAGAGACCAAAGAGTGCATGTCCACAGGTACCTTAAGGTGGCAAAACATTTGGTTATGGTTGTAAAGAAAGCATATTAAATGCTTTGCTTTATTGGACCAGGTTTAGAATACAAAAACAGGATTGCAGTGTTGGAACTGTATAAAATGTGATTTAGCTGCAGGTAGAATTTTGAGTACAGTTCTGGTCACAATGGTAGAAAGGACATAATTGCTCTGGAGACAGTACAGAAGAGATTTTTAAGAATGTTGTTAGGGCTTGAACGTTGCAGCTATGGAGGAAACTTAGATATGCTAGGCTTGTTTTACTTAGAACTGAGAAGGCTGAGCATTGACATAATGGAGGGTACAAAAGATTGAGTTGTCTAGATAGGAAAGACCCATTTCCTATATTTGAAAGATCAGTTACCAGGTGACATTGATTTAAGATGATTGGTAGAAGGATTAGAGGGGACTTTTCACCCAGAGAGTGGTGAGTGTCTGGAATTTACCACCTAGATTAATGGTTAAAGCAGAAATCTTCAACTCATTTAAAAGGTACCTGAATGTGCACCCAAAGAGCTGTAATATTCAAGGCTGTGGACCAGATGCATGAAAATAGTAATAAAATGAATAACTAGTTCATTTTCTTCTTTTTCTCCATTGGTGCTGGAGCAATGGCTAAATAGCCTGTTTCTGTGCCATAACTTTGCTGTGGTTCTATGGAGGAGTGCCTTCTAGGGGGTGACATGGTGGCTCAGGGTTAGCACTGCTGCCTCACAGTGTTAGAAACTCAGGTTTGATTCCAGCCTCAGGCAGCTGTCTGTATGGAATTTGAATGTTCTCCCTGTGTCTGTGTGTGTTTCCTCCCACTGTCCAAAGATGTGCAAATTAGATGGATTGGCCATGCTAAATTGCCCCACAGTGTCTAGGAACGTGCAGGCTAGGTAGGCTAGCCATAGGAATATATAGAGTTACAGAGGTAGGTAGGGTAGGGTAGGTTAGGGGAGTGGATCTGGGTGGGATGCTCTTTGGAGGGTTGGTGTAGCCAAATGACCTGCTTCCACACTGTAGGGATTCTATGGAAAAAGAAAATTCTGTGGGAGTCCAGTTAGACTCTATTCTGTCTCTCTACAGCTGGAGAACATTCCCTAGCTTTGATATTCTGAAGTTCAGGTTGGCCACCCTTCATTACTGTCCTACCAAACACATGACACCTTCCCTGGGATTTCACATGAAGACTGTAATCAAGTGGTTGGATGAAAATTCTAAATCAGTGCACCTGTGATATTTGAATAACTTCCCAAGAGACTGTGGTTCCAGTGAGTTTGAGTAGAAGATGATTGAGTAAACCTTTTAGAATAATCTGTTAACTGGCTCATTATCCAAAGAATTATTTTGTATATAATTCATTGAAACTGAGAGTAAAGCCATTGGAAGAATTGAATTTGGCACTCTGAGTTGATTTTCTTGTTCTTGTCAGGCTCATTAAATTTAGCCATGCAAAAAAATTTATATCAAAAGGTAAAGAAGGTGATGAGATTTATTTTCTTTCTAAAAATCAGCCTTTCTGCTGCACGGGTTAAAATTCTAAATTTATTGAAAATGGGTGATAGCGAATGGGCA